CGCACTTTTTAAAATATCTCTCTATCTATCTATCTGTCCAGACAGAGGGAGAGAGAGAGGGAGAGACACAGAGTCCCAAGCAGGCTCTGTACCGTCAGCACAGAGCTCGACGTGGGGCTAGAACTCATGAGCAGTGAGATCGTGACCCGAGCCGAGATCAAGAGTCGGACGCTCAACGGACTGAGCCGCCCAGGCGCCCCTATCCTACGTAATTTTTACAACATGGCTCAAGGAAGGCATTTTAATCCCCATTTTATAGAGGAGGAGATTAAGGCCCAGAGGGGGAAGTGAACTGCCCAAAGGTCACACAGCCGGGAGACAGCAGAGCCAGAATAAAGAATGCCAATTATTCTCCCATCTCGGGGTTTTCTCCTGCGTGCACAGCCCCTCTGCCTGACACCTTCTCCAAAGCCCCTAACCGCTCCCCAGGCTGGCTCTTCCTCGTCCTGTAGCCTTTGGTTTAGACATCATCCTTCACGGAGGCCTTCCATGACCCCACCTTCCCCCCCCCCACCCCCCTGCTGAACAGGCCACACCTGTCAGTGCTGTTCTCTCTTAACTGCCTATTCACTGTGTCACAAATCACAATCACTTATTAACTTTTTGTTTGCCTCCTTATCTAAACAAGGGCTTTCCTTTCAAGGAGCTCACATTTAAATAGAGAAGAAAGGCACCGAAGCCAAGAAACAAATAGTTATCCGGGACGGTGATAAGCACTGAGAAGAAAATAAAACTAGGCAGCAGGCTAAAAAGTGACAGAGAAGGGAGGGGCACTTTAGAAGTGGGGGAGGCAATGTTTCTGATGAGATCTGAGAGTGAGAAGGAGAGAGTCATGTGAAAACCCAAGGCAAATGTGTTTCAGGCAGCGGAAACAGCATGTGCAAAGGGCCCGGGGTGGGAATAAGTTTGGTGTGTTCAAGAGATGGAAAGAAAGGCACGTGGTTGGAGCTCGATGGTCCAGGGGAGGGTGACAGGATGGGACAAGGCCAGGGCCAGATCCTTAAAGGCCTTAAAGGCTGAGATAAGGAGTTGTTTCATTGCTTAGGTTTATCTCCCAACTAGACTGTGAGAGATCTATGAGGGTAGGGACCTTGTCTGTCTCATTCACTGTTGACTCCCTTGGCACATGGCAGGTACTCAGTAAATACTGGCTGAATCAAGGAGTGAATATGCTACCCTACTGCCTCCTATACGCTAAGTACATTCCCCCTATGTTTCTTTGAGCATCTCTCTCCTCCCACGGCTTTCCTCTCTTAGGTGTCCTGTCCATCCCAGCACTATCTTTGACAGTGCACTTCAACCATGTGATATTATCTACTCACAGTCTCAAGGGTCTCCCTTCAGGGAGAGCTGAATCTCATAGAACATCTCAGAAAGCTCCCCCACACGCTTTATGATATCCCATGGTGGGGTCTCACATGCACGTGTATATAGTTCAAGGTCCCAGTGCCCCCTCAGATCAGCACAAGGAGGCTACCCTAACCCACCAGCTGTTAGGAAACTCGGTCACATCAATAATTCCTATGCCTTGCTCCACCCCGGTGCCCGGGGGGAGCAGGAAGTTAATTAGCTTTGCCAGAGAGGCCCTGTGAAATGTTTGGAACTCTGCAGCCTGAGAACCCCCTAAACACAAGGTGCAATTCGGCATTCCAGCCCCAGCCTGGGCTCACTCAGCCAGATCTCACACCTGTTCACAGTGTTGGGTGGTATTTACAAACAGTGGACACTTGTGAGTCAGCAGGAGGACAGGAGTGGGGACACCCCTGTGCTGCGTCTGAGTTGTTGCAGAGTTAACTTAATGATGAAACAATCACCATACATTCTCCTTCTCTGGGGAGCGCAAATGGCTTTATAAACACCAGGCCTAGGGCGACTGAGGGGGGAAGGAGGCGGGGGGTTTACCTTGGGTGGGGAGTGAGCGTTCAGTCCATTAAGGGGAGTCTAAGAGCAGAAGTTAATGGTCCCCCCAGGCCTGCAAGTTAATTCGGCCTTGAAAATAGTTCTCAAAATCCATTTGCCAACCACTCCTGCCCACACTGATCTCCACTCCCCGCCTGCAGCTCCCCAGAACCACTCATGGTTTGCTCGGTCTGACTTATTCTAAGACATCCGGAAGTCACTGACCCAGGACTCAAAGAGTGGGACACACTCCTTCTGTATGTAACACAGGGTCCGGACTAGGGTGAGGCAAGTGAGACATTTGCCTCTGGACCCAAATTTAAGTGGTTGCCAAAAAACTCAAGGTGTAATCAAGACAAAATATGGAATGCAATATTAAAAAAAAAAAAAATTAAGACTGATGGAAAATACCCATGGGGAACAAATATCAACATTCATAATAAAGACAGGGATCTTATCCTCACTCACCTGACTCCTACTGTCACTTGAATGACCTTGACCCTTGCTCGCATGACCTTGGTGCTCACCCATCTCACTATGTCCCAGCTCTGATGCAAGCTGATTTTTCGGTGGTCTGTAAGGGAATATTTTAAATTTTAATACTTAGATAGATATATATATTTTTTTTCATGTTTGTTTGTTTATTTTGAAAGAGAGAGTGAGCAGAGGAGGGGCAGAGAGAGAGGGGGACAGAAGATCCAAAGCAGGCTCTGCTTTCACAGCAGAGAGCCTGACGTGGGGCTCGAACTCACGAACCACGAGATCATGACCTGAGCCGAAGCTGAACGCTCAACTGACTAAGCCACCCAGGAGCCCCAGTACTTAGGTATATTTTAAAAATTATGGAAGTGCTCCCAGCTTTCCATTTATGGCAGAGAGATGACATTTTTCTTTCTCTTTTCTTTTAAAATATGTTAATTTCAATAAATAAAGACCCGGGGCGCCTGGGTGGCTCAGTCGGTTAAGCATCTGACTTCGGCTCAGATCATGATCTTGTGGTTCATGAGTTCAAGCCCCACGTCAGGCTCTGAGCCCCACGTCAGGCTCTGTGCTGACAGCTCAGAGCCTGGAGCCTGCCTCGGATTCTGTGTCTCCCTCTCCCTCTGCCCCCGTCTCACTCATACTCTGTCTCTCTCTCTCTCTCAAAAATAAAACATTACAAAAAATTAAAAAGAAAGAAAAGAAAGAAAGAAAGAAAGAAAAAAGAAAGAAAGAAAGAAAGAAAGAACCAAGTTCATTTAAGGAAATTTACTGAGTAAATAACACAGGTAGTTTGTGCATGTGGTCAACCCCCTGGTTGGGGGTGCTTGGGCAAAACTCCACCTGTAGCCCCACAGAAAGCAGGACCAGGTTAACATCTGTCCCTTATTGTACAAAGGGGACTTCTGACCTAAAGCAGGCCCTTAACAAGAAAAGCCCTGAACCTCCCTGAGCCCCAAACTCTTTGCCTCTAAAATGGGGTTCACAATACCCACAGAGAGCAGTGAGGTTTATAGGAAATGATTATGGGATGCTGAGCAGATATCAACAGGGCCACATGAAGACTTTAGTGGGCCCTTTCCCCTATAAAAAAAAATACTAAAAATTATATTTAATGATTGTGTGGATATAAAGGTGAATACAATTCAGCCTCAATTATATCCGCCTTTACACCAGCCCAGTCAAGGTACGCATCTTGCTCATCGCAAGAAGTGAAATATTTTTGTGGGTCCCTAGACACGTACCGCGGCTACAGGCACTGTACTTGCTGTGCTCAACAGAGAAGCTGGCCCTGAGCACTCTGGGCGAGCACTTACGTACGCGGTCCTGTAATCTTCCTAACGTCACAAGGCAGTCCCTCTCAGTTACAGTTTATCCACGAGGAAAAGAAGGCCCAGAGAGTTCCGGCAACTTGCCCGGGGTCACACAGCCAGGGAGTAGCAGGGCCGAGATTCGAACCCTGATCTGCCTGCTTCTGGAGTCTTCCCCCCTGCCACGCCCAGGACGCGAAATAATGTGGGAAGCTGCCAACGCCTGGGTGACTGCATCCATTGGTAAGGGAAACGGTCTGTTGTTAGGTGCAGAGTGGGCTCCCCCAAGGTCCATGAGGGGCGAGCAATCAGCAACAGGACCCCGGTGTCCTTGCCCTACTAACTTGGCGGGGGCCGTGTGGCCGCATGCTCAGGCCGGTTGTCGGCGAGTCTGTGGGCATGTAAGCCGCCATCCCCAGACAGCGAGATGTCCTCAGAGCCTCTAGGACGCCCGGCACCGAAGTCCGGTGGGGCGGGTTGCCATTTGCTTCGTGCTCCTGTGTTCTTGAGGGAAGGACAAAGAGAAAGAGAGAGAAAGAACTTTGGATGCAGACCAAAGCCACTCGGGTGTTTCGCTGCGCGTCCCCTTGCAGGCTCCTCAGTGAGGAGGGCCTGACAAGTGTCACGTGAACAAGAGGTCAGCGCCATTCCGTTCCACGCACGCGACCCTGCAATTTTGAACAATTGTGGCTTGAGACAAAGATCCTCCCTGGGAAGGAAAATCCATCCGAGGATGCAGTTTCCAGCTTCGGCGCTTCTTGAATTATACATGGGCAACCCCCCGCCCGGCCCCCCCCGAAGGCGGCTTTTTAAGCCGTGAGGGGAAGGCATATAATTTTGGTCGCTGGCATTCTGCTACAACACTTGCTGAAGTGGGGCCCCTCCCATAGCCAAGTGGCGTTTGCCTCGAAACCAAACGGGGGATGTCTGACGCCTCAAATAGCTCCAAGCTGCCAGCAGAAAGGATGCTGAGTTTGCCACGGTCTTGTCGGTCTTGTCTCCTCGAGGCTGGAAGCAACGGGAACCTGGGCTCCGGGCCCTCCGGGGCGCTGGCCTGGCGGTGGCTGCCCTTGCTGGCCAGGCAGAGCGAGCGGTGCTGTGTCCAGCCGGAAAGGGCGGCAGGAGACTGGAGAAGCCGTCGGGGAGATGGTAGGTCCGGGTCCAGATGGCCCCAATGTCAGGCCAGGACCAGAGGGGACAGTGCCATTTCTGGCCCTTTAAAGAGATCGGTAGCTGCAAAATGCTTCCCGTCAGAAGAGGCTCCTGGGTACTTTTGTCTCCCCAGGTTTGCCCAAGGACAGAGTGGGCAAGGGCATTTGAAGGTCCGGTTGGGTCGGTGGTGGCTAAGGGCGTGGGCGTTGGTGACAGTCATGGGTTGGAATCGTGCTTTGTAACTTATTAGCTATGTGGCCCTGAGAAAGTCGCTGCACCTCTTAGAGCCTCAGTTTCCCTGTCTGTAGAACGGGCTCATCGCCTGCTCCACACTGTTGCTTTGAAAAGGAAACGCACGCAAGTGCTTGAGCACAGCAGCTGGGCCGATTTTGAGCTCAAAATACGGTAGCGATCATGATGATTGCATCGTGAAGATAAGGAAATGACAAGTGCTATCCGTGCCTGGTGGTAACTCAGTGGGTGGGTGTGCATGTAAATGCCCGTGTGAGCCCACGTGCCCTTGAATGTGTGTGTGTGTGTGTGTGTGTGTGTGTGTGTGCGCGCGCGCGCGCACGCGTGTGCCTGTGCATGTGCACATGCCCCCACCAAAGGTCGGGAGACGAGCATTCCCTGCCCTAGATGTGGAAACCCGAGAAGGGCAAATACTTCATTATTTAGATTCAAAAGCTACTCATTAGGCGAGACCAGAGCACTTAGAAAGCCAAGCTGACCCACAAGTGTGAAATGTTATTATAAGTAATGACAATGATTACTGGATGAGGGGGTGAGCAGAGAGAGGGAAGCCTGAGAGGTTAATGTCCATTAACTACCAGAAATTAGGAGATTGCATTTCTGCTTCCAGGCTAAACCTAACAGTCTGTTTATTTACCTCACAGGGAGCTCTTAGCACATCAAAAAGGTATTTAAAACACAACCCCCCCCCCCCCCCAACAATTAGCTCTAGGAAGAAGAGTAAATATGGACGCAATTTATCACTCGGAGCGCCCTGCTATCAGAGACAGATGCCGTCAGTTAAATAAAACAGACCCGAAGACCTGCCAGAAAGATCAACCCGAGAAACAATTGGCTAATTTGCTGATCGGCAGTGGACAGTGGGCCTTTGGTGACACACACACCAGTCATATCTTTCTGCTAATTCTTACCCGAGTTACACGTTGCTTTTTGCACCCAGAGGGAGAAGAGACACTGAGCGTCTTTAACCGAAAAACGTAACAGAGGTAGGTCCAACCCTGCAAAAGCCGTACGACTGCGGCTTTACTGCAACGGGCCACCAGACATCCCAGTTCGCCGGGGACCGTGGTTCTCCCCGGGGACGTAGGGCGTTCAGCGCCCAATCCCGGACAAACAGGGATGGTGGCCCCAGGTGCGAGTGACAGTCAACCCCAGGGGGAAGCAACATTGGGTCAAAGCTGGCTTGTGCCTAGCCTTGAAGAAATCCTACCTGCCCCCATATGGCAAAACAGACCGTGAACCCATTAGCAGTAAGAATGTGGGGTCACGTGGGACCTGTGCGGGAGGCGCACCAGCCAAGGTAAAAGTCCAGGGAGACCTCGGAGAGGCGAGTGCGCAGGGGGGGGCCGGAAGAGGATCTTGGACAGACAGCTTTTCGCTTCGCAGAGCCCTGCTGATGCAAAACCGCGGAGCCCGGCCTCGCTCATCGGACCCCAGAGCCTCCGCCCCTTCCTCAGGATATATCCGAGCGTGTGCTGTGTAATCCGGGGCCGTATCCACGAAATGCACATAATTCTCCCCCTTCAGCTGTTGCCACTGCTTTCTGAGACTCCGTATATAAATATCTGTGCGTGTGCGTTTGTGTGTACATTTCCTGACATATTTACGAAGTCTCAGTTTGCCAACCTTTGGGGCATAATGCAAGAACTATTTTTCATCCTAATCTGCTGTAATGACATGTTTTATTATACTATTTCAGCTGTTTCCATTGCTTTCGCCGGGCATGTTTTATGTATTTTAACTGATGCTTTGATTTTAGTGCAGCGTGCCCTAAGGTGAGTTCACAAAGCCTTACTTTGGGAAATCCGTGGGGAGTCACAGCACTGGCCGTGGACGGCTCGACCCACACGCATCATCGCACAACCAGGCTCGGAGGAAAGGGTGTCTGAAATGCAGGGCCGGAAGTGCACACGCTTGAAGGCGGGCTGGCGGGGCCAGTGGCCTGGCCTGGTGTTCAGACTAGGGCTTTTGCCCCCGTTTTAGCCCTGAAGGTCTGGCCCCCTGGAACCTCCTCCCTTCGGAACAAAGCAGGATGTTTGGGCACCTTACCAAGATGGCAGGTTGGACAGCTGGGTGGGCAGGTTCTTAGGAGCTAGAGGGTCTCGTTGTGGCCCAGCGAGAGCCTGGGGTTTGCAATGCCCTCTGCTTAGTTGCAAACCCCAGCTCTGGCAGCTACTGCAATGGTCATTTTTGATTCTGCGCAAGTCAGTTACACCCTCACTAGGCCTCAGTTTCCTCATCTGGAAGACGGGGCTGGGAACGCCTATCTTGCAGGACTGTGATAACAGACGGCAAAAGCGGTGTGGGTTCTATGCCTGGCACACAGGTTCCCTCTTGCCCAGTCTAGCGACGAGGGAGTGGGGCCGGATGCCTCCGAAGGGCTTGAAGATCACGTCCTGCGGCAGAGTGAAGGGCCAAGGCCACCACCCAGGCCTCCCAGACTCGGGCAGCAGCATGCCCCCACGGCTCATTTAGACCCCTTGGCGGTCCTCTATGAGGGGTGTTCCTCGGTTTATTCATGCTTCCTCCGGGCCAGGCATTTCTCTTCCTCATCCCGTTTAACCCCCCAGCAGGACACCTGCCGGGTGGGTGAGATTATAACCCCCATTTTGCCAATGAGGCAGTAGAGACTCAGAGAGGGGGAGACATTTCCCGAAGACCACACAGCAAGCAAATGGTCAACGGGGCCTGTGTGACCACATGGTGTGATTCCAGTGTCTGTCATTCGAACCCTCATGCCCTGCAGCCTCCTTGCCTGGAAGAAGTGGCTGGTCACTCACTGGGGACTGTAAGGCATTGAGAACAAATGGAAAGGGACGGTCCAACAGACAGAGCCGAGAAGCCCTCCGGTTCGTCAGGCCTCTGATGAACATCTCCTTCAGCCCGAAATAGTCCTTTCTGTTCTAACCCAAGGTAGAGTGTGGGGAGAGGCCTGATCTTTGACACCTGCCTTTCTCCTTCTCCTTCCTTTTCCACACCCCTCTCCATACCCACAGCCCACCCTGGACCCTCCTGCCTCTGTGTCTAGGCACGTGCTCTTCTCCTGAGCAGAAATGTCATTTTTTTCCCTTTCTCCTCCATGTCGTCTCTCTGAAAACTCCTATTCACCCTGCAAAGCCCAGCTCCTCAGTGCCCGGGGCCCTTGTCCCCTCAGACTGCCACTGGTGGCTTATTCGCCAGCTTAAGTGCTGCATCTGGCCAGCGCCTGCCATGAAAGGACAGAAAGCTGGCAGAACGTCTGTTGGGCAGAAAAAACTCACTGTCTCACTCGCCCCACCCATCAGCCAAGCTGTTCTGGACCCTGGCAACGTGTGTTGCGTTCCTACTGGAGCCCCAGGAGGTGGGCGTCCTCACTCCCACTTTCTAGACCACGGGGAAGCAAACCACAGCCTGCAGGCCAGCTGTCTGCTTTTGTAAAGTCGCATTGGACGTAGCTCTGCCTCTTCATTTATGTATGGCCATCGCCGCACACAGGCTACAGCAACCAAGTTGAATAGTTGCCACGGAGACTGTATGGCCCGCAAGGATGTTTACCATCTGACCCTTCGCAGAAAGAGCGTGCCAGCCCCCGTAAACCAAGATGAAGACTTGAGGTTCAGAGAGGCTTAGCAACTTGCCACAGTTAACTCAGCTGGACAGCTGAGGACAGGACAGCCCCGGGGTTCAAATCAGGCTTCAACGTGGGAGCTCTTTCTATAGCCCAAGGGCCATGCTTGCTTTCTTCCAAGGTCCCCTTCCACGGGCACTCCCCAGCGCTCTGCATCAGGCCACAGAGGTGGCTCCCTCCCACCTGGCCTGGGAGCCCCAGTGCAGCAGGTGCCCAGGGCGGAGGCAGTCACCTGGGCTCAGGTGTGGGCCCTTTAGGCGCCCTGGGACCCAGAGAAAAAGGCAGTGGGCAGAGAAGGTTTTTGTTTTTGTTTCTTAAAGAATGAAAATGCATTTGATAAAGAATCTCACCTCGCCTACTGATCTCATTTTCCAAGCACTTACAAATCAGCCAGTGGTGCAAAGCGAGTGGATGGATGCTTGCTCAACTGCTCTGCTGTTCCCAGTTTCAGAGGGGCCCGCATCCAGCAAGGGGCAGGGCCTTCTCCGGGGTGGGAGACCGCCCCTCGTTGCAGGAGACAAAACCCCTTCCCACATCCCACTTCCAAGCTCCTCTGATGTCCCCCTCACCCCCAGCCTGCACCCACCTTCCCCACTTCAACCCCCAGCTTCCCTCACCCCAGCATCTCCGGGGGCTGCTTCCCCACCCAGGCCTGGGAGTTTTATTTCAAGCTGAGATACAATTGCAGATCATGTTCCTCCCCCCACCCCTTTTCTTTTTAATAAAGCTGTTTTGTGTCTCTGCCCCCCCTTTCTGCATTCCTCCCATCTGAGCCTTCCCCTTTCCCCCTCCTGTAGGAAATGTCTTGGATTCTCTCACTGGGGTGTAATGGTTAAATTGCTACCAGCTGATTAAACAGCAGAAGCCGAAGCTGTAATCCTCAGCGCTCAGGAACCCAGGGAGGCAGAGGCGAGGGCCCTGACCCGCTTAGCCCCTGCTGACCCCCTGCGATGTGCCAGCCCTGGCTTTCAGTCCATTCATTCGTCCCAGGCTGCCTAACGGGAATCCTCAGGGAGGGGCGAGGGGAGGTAGAGGGGAGGAGAGGGGATGGGAGGGGGGCAGGAGGGGGAGGGGAGGATGCCTTCGCCACCCCTGGCCCAACCTCCCAAGGAATGTCTGCCGGCCCCAACCCCTGTCCCTCCCCTACCTACACACACACACACACACACACACACACACACACACACACACTCTCTCTCTCACTCACTCACTCCTACACACCCAGGCTCTTTCTCATTCTCTGCAGAATGAAGACCAGATGAAGGAGATAGCCCCTTACCCCAGCCCCCTCCTTCTGGGAAACCTTCCTCCCACACCTGCCCCCACACAGGGAAGGATCAGGAAGACACAGAAGAGTGGGATCAGAGAGGGGTCTGGGGAGGGTGAAAGAGGGCTTTGGGGGCTGGGCGGCCTTAGGTTTGACCCTGACTCTGAAGGCTGCGGGCTCATGGAGTCAGAACCGCCCTTCTTTGAACTTTGATTCTATTCTGTCTGAGCCCCGTCTGCAGACTGGGGCAACAGCCTCATCAGGCGGCCACGAGGCTGGAGCGAGCGCCTCCCGGCCCAAAGCAAGTGTCATCGCAAACGGTCTGGGCCGAGGGCTGGGGTACCGTGCAATCAGCATAACCTTCCAACAGGGCCACCCCTACGTGCTGTGTCCCTCGGGCTCCTTACAGTATAGCTCTTCCCTTGCACGCTAGACGTCACAAGTGCCAGGCTCCCACCAGCGGTGGCTCTCCCGTCCTGATTGACTTGGCCGTCGAACTCAGGCTCTGGACCGAGAAGAGCAAGAGGGCAGTGAGCCTCCCTGGGAAAGTTTATGTCCATGGAAAGTACAGTTCAGATGAGTGCAGAGTCTGGCCTTGATTCATCCTCCCCCACACTTACTCAGAAGTGGGAGAAAAGAGCCTGTCGCTGAAGAGGGAACTGGCTGAAGGCAGGGGGGACATCAGTCACCCGCCCAAGCACACTCATCTTGGAAGCGGCCCTTCTCTTTCCATGGGGGAAAAAGCCCCTGTATTCGCCAGAGTTCTCTAGAGAAACAAAACCAGAAAAATATATAATTCTATCTATCTAGATAGTTCTGTATAGAGATATATAGGTACCCTATATGTGATATAGATCACATATCATATGTATCATGTATCACATGATATACAGCATATATCACAAATATGATATATGTGATATAGATCAATATAGAGACATTTAGATATAGAATATACGATATAGATATCACATATACCTATGTCTATTGATCTACTTATTGGGAGGGAGAGGGAGAAAAGTAAATTTATTATAAGCAATTGGCTCATGCAAGTATGGAGGCTGAGAAGTCCCGCGATCTGCTGTCTGCAAGGTGGAGCCTCGGAGAGCTGGTGGTGAAGTGTCAGTTCAAGGGCAGGAGAAGAGAGGGGATCCTCCCTTCCTCCATGATTTTTGTTCCATTCTGGCCCTCAGGGGCTGGACGAGGCCCGCCCACGTGGGGGAGGGGAGGGCCACCTGGTTTACTCCACCCACCCATTCGAATGCTAATCTCATCCTTAAAAAGCCTCCCAGAGGGGCGCCTGGGTGGCGCAGTCGGTTAAGCGTCCGACTTCAGCCAGGTCACGATCTCGCGGTCCGGGAGTTCGAGTCCTGCGTCGGGCTCTGGGCTGATGGCTCGGAGCCTGGAGCCTGTTTCCGATTCTGTGTCTCCCTCTCTCTCTGCCCCTCCCCCGTTCATGCTCTGTCTCTCTCTGTCCCCCAAAAAATAAATAAACGTTGAAAAAAAAAAGTTTAAAAAAAAAAAAGCCTCCCAGAAACAATGCTGAACCAAATTATCTGGGCATCCATTGGCCCCGTCAAGCTGACCCATAAAATTGAATATTGCAGGGCGCCTGGGTGGCTCAGTGGGTTAAGCACCCGACTGTCGGTTTGGGCTCAGGTCATGATCTCACAGTTTGTGAGTTCTAGCCCCACGTCGGGCTCTGCGCGCAGAGCCTGCTTGGGATTCTCTGTCTCTCTCTCTCTCTGCCCCTCCCCCGCTCACGTGCTCTCTCAAAAATAAATAAATA